TAAAATTTAATAAACTATAATGAACCTACCCTATCAGCATAATGTCATTATTTTCATAGAATCCTTCTATCTGATTAGTATTGAATTCGCTTATAAGCCATAGTGATATAATAGTATGTACAGTAGTAAAATAATATAACAATTAATATAATATTATTATAGACATTCACAATCATATTCACAATTTCACTGATTTATATTTAGATAATATTATACCAAAAATTATGTCAAAAGTCAATCTATACTTTCGTCCAGCGTTTACATATTATAGAAATCTTGAATTTTTTTTTTAAATTTATGTACGTATGTGGTAGTGTGTCTATATTTATTAGCAGAAAAAAATATTTTATGCAGGAGGTACTGTTATATAAGACAGAAATACTGAATGATAACCTAGATCCTATCTCGACCATATAGTATATTCCTCTAACTATGTACTAACAATAGCTGATCAATGAAATATTAAACCGGTTTCATTCCATTACTGTTGTAGTAATTGCATATTTCCAGGAATATACATATACATATATATTTTTTATGATATTGTTAAATCAATGACGAAAGATTCAGATAAGTTGTAAAATAATATATTCAACGTCCGTTTAACTGGATATTATATTATTTGTCACACGCCGTTATGCGAATAAAAGTCACGAGCATAATTTTATACAGACACTTCAAAATTAATTAAGATTAATAATTGAAATATAAACGTTCGGTTAAAATCAGATAATTCATAATTTTTAAGTCAGATGATTAGTGGCTAAATAAATGTAATCATGCACATGTACCTACCTATTTTAAATCTACTTCGTTCCATGTTCAACAGTAAATCACATTCAAATAATATTAATATTTAATACGTATAGAACAGTGACCGGTTTAATGAAGTCGTTGACATAAATTATCTTTTTATTTCTAGCAAGTGTCTTCTACATTAACGTCATTTTGCATCCATAAATGATGAGTTATTTTAATATTAGGTACTATAATTTGTAATTTGTTAACATGACCAAGTTGATTTCGTAAATAATTTTATAAATATATTTCTTATATTATGGTCGATTAATGCAAAAATCACAAAAATTGTGTCACTTTTAAGTCTAATTATATTATGTTGAAAGTAGCTTTGTATATGTAGTAACTAGTAGCTAATAATTAATATTATAATATCTACTTACAGATAATTTATTATATAGTTGCATATTTCACCGTCTTATAATTTTCAAGTACCTACCAAAACTGGAATACATAATAAATAAACAATATTGTAGTACATTTATAGTACCTAGATCATTATTGTAGATTATTATTTATAATAGATTTTAGTAAATCAATCCCAGTTTGATCGGTTTTGTTGTGTAAAAGAAATTTATTAAATAATATTGTATAGATGGGTACTCCTAAGAAATATTATACCTAACTATCGCGATTCGTGAGTTATAAAATATTATTATCAATAGGTAATTTGTACTTCGTAGTTATATTTTCACTTTACTAATGAGCGACTACCTATTATAACATGTTTATTAATTAGTAATAATATTATATACTCATAATGCAATATAATAATCAATAGAAAAGTCGTTAATAGACCAAATTTAAAAAAATCAATTTCCTTAATTATACGTCATTTATAAACGTTATCTTGAAATCAGTCGATTGAAGAAGATAAAAGAGCGAGAGAGAAATAATTATAATATTATCAAGTATAAATCTTGATTGACACGAAATCCCATAAATATATTATATAAATACAAAAAAATGACATTTACGTTCTATTAAGTTTAAAATACATTAATTAAATTCAACGATGATCCAAAAATTAATAATATACCATATTATATAGACTACTGCAGTCGGAATTATGTTTTTTTTTTTAATTACATAAAAAAAATTAGTTTGCGAACATAACATATTGAAACCATCAATGCACGAGCGCATTATGGCTTGTGTATGTTTTTTTTAACATATGATTATGATAATATATTACATCATGATTCATGGTACAGGTACTCATTCGGTCGACCCAATGTAGTAGATAATAATAATATTATTGAGAGATGTATTCTTTATATATGAAATATCCTGTTAGCGAATAATTGTTCTATTTTCGTTCGGACTTGATTCTTTTTCAATAAAATGTTGTTAGTTGGTGATTTTTTTTTCATCGTATTTTTATTACTGGCAACGACTAAAGAATGTTAAAAATAATAAGTTACCATACTAATAATTCTTGATACATAATAACTTTTTAAGCGAATGTAAATTTTAACATGCAACATGATATAAGAGGTTTTAATTTCCGTAATAATTATAATAATTTAATTAATTAGATTTATATTTTGTTATATATAGATTGTATCGCGTGTGTGTGTTATGATAAAAATAAATAAGAATTACATATTATATTATTTTATAGTAGCTAATAACTATAATTTACAAAACAAAGTTTTTCCTTTATTGCTTTGTTTTAAACACACACCTAGCTATAACTTATGGAGTTCAAAATTCATAAAATTCCATTTACACAACATAATGTATTGATGTTATAAATATCCAAGAGCACGCCCAAACAGTAAAAAAAATATGACCTTATACCAACTTATTAATTGTACAGAATTTGTACTATATAACAACTATGGTTTTAGTTTTACATTAAGTAAATCGATTTTAATGAGAATGTTATAAAAATAGATTTTGATAAACTTACTAGTTTTTTTTTTTTTTATTAAATTAAATACCTGCTGTTTATATTTATCTGCTAAGAATAATATGCTTTATTAATTTTTTTGTTTAAAATAATTGATTTTGATTTTAAGAATAACATCTCCGATAAAAAACAATACATTTACCAAGGATGGAAAAATCATTTTGAATTTTAAATTTTTATTCTGTGACACAAGTATAAGTACCTACAACTCATAGAACATGCATGCCTTATTCTAAAAAAAAAATAGTACACCAACCTAATTAATTAGCATACTCTGATTTATAGTTTGGGAAAATGTTTCGTTATAATTTTACAATAATGTGTAGTTTTCGTGTTACAAATAGGGCCAACATAATTTTGGTCCTTGGTACTTCGAAGGTATAAATAATATTAGGATACATAAATAATTAAATGGTTTAATAGGTACCTACGTTATTATATTGAATAATATTACACTATTACAGTATAAGCTATAATTACCTATTTTAAATCCACTCGCATCAAATCATTTTTAACCAATACCTATAATATGTATGTCAGTATTTTAATTTTTTTTATCTGTACCACTTTTTAATTTTTAAAGAATAATTATTAATTTTAGATCTTGATTTTATATGATAAAACTATAAATCTATGCGTTGATTCTATATACCTATGTATTGATTATGTATCGTTTTATCTGTTGGTCTCAATAGGCAATCTCGGTGCACTATATTCTGTCAACATTTACCCGGTACCTACATTAATAATATTATATTTATGTATACATTTTTTTTCACTGGAATAAAACTACATATTAAAACACATCATGTTCAAATAGTATAGATTTTGTAGGTCTCAGTACTCATTATGCATTTTTTTTATCATTTTAAACGCGCGTACCATATATATTATTATACTTATCACCTATGTGTAATTTTCGGACGTTTTTGGTTGAAATATGATAAAAATCTGTCATGCATTTTTGTAAATAAATTGTGACTTTCCCAAACGGAGAACCGTTAAAGCGCACACCACCGTAATTCAATTGCGAGGGGGAAAAGACGAAAGAAAAATAAATCACTAACGATTTCAAGGAAAACTATAATATAGTGGTGGTGGTGTTTGTGAAAATAATATGTTTATGAAGACTCTCATGCATTAATAATTGTTGTCTTCGTCTTACACACGTACGGCATTTAGAAAATGTTCGTTCCCTAGCTTCAATAGTGTGCTTTTAGTAGTTTTAATATTATAGTGAATTTACCAACTATCCAACTGTTGGCCATGAAAATTATTAGCTGTAGGCGTCGGTGATTTTTTAGACATTTTAATGTGCGAGACAGATACGGGAATGTGAAATTGTGAAGTATCACAAATTGAAAACGCTCATATTTCGCTTGAAAACAAAAATGTCGAATTAAAGACGACGCTTGAGCACGGACAATGGGTCTGGAAATAGGTAAATTCACTCTAATATCAACAATAACATCACATTAATACACTATATTAATATATTGAAACTATAAAGTGAACGAAAATTTGCCATGCCGTATACGTTTGTAAGATGGAGACAACAAACTCTACGTGAATAATGTTATCATGTTAAAGTCGTCGTCATAATATCACAATGAACACATACATGAATAATATTGCAGTCGTTTAATATGAGAGTTCACCGAATGGCGTTAAGAAGACGCCGCCACCGCGTCTTAACGATATGTTTTTCATTATGAATAAACGAGCATTTTGTCTTTTGCGCCCATGAACCGACTGAATCGCAAATACATACCGTTAAGACCTAAACGACCGTTATGACTTATTCATCACTCGTATATTATAAGTACTTATACTTTATTCTTTGTAAAAACAGAAGAGGCGATTGCCTTATAGTCGCTCTTGCCGCAGTCTTGTTATAATATTTATACTTATAGTTATAACGTTCAACATATTATTATTATCATCACTGCAGAATAAAAATATAATGGTATTATAACTACAAATTATGTTTTACAGTTTTGTTACTATTCAACACGTCCGTTGATAATTTTCAATATTCAAAATATGCATTTTCCGATTACATAATATTAGTCCTGCAGCAGGTGACATAAGTAAAATAATAGAACAACGTGGAATTGCTATATGGATATAATATTGTGCATTCTAATTTGACTCGTCTTTCTTATTTTTACCTACTATACCGCACTGATACCGAGAACGTTGTACCTACGTCTGTTACATTATATTAAAATATTATTATGCTTACCATAATGATGGGATTTTGTGTGTTTCAGGTTTCACGGGAGCCATGTTGGAAACCGTAGCAGAAAAGAAAATCCCGCCGCCACTGCCACCCAAGACCCGCCGTGGCTGTCTGAAAAACAGCGGCGTCGAAGGAAACTGTGGCGGCGGCGCGACCATTCTGCAGTCCAACGGTCACGTGGTGAAAATCCGAATAGACCCGATGATGGTTGACGGAGGCGGCGGTGGTGGTGGCGGTGCCGGTGACCGCTCCGAACGGGACGACGGGCCGCGCCGTGAGCACTCGGTGGGCCGCCGGTCAAGTACGGTCAAGATAAACATTACTTGCGTGGACCCGTTCGTGTTCCGCCGGCACTACACCGACGTGGACGACGACGACGACGAGGACGATGACGAGGACAGGCGCTCGTCGTCGGGACACCGGTCGCCGCTGGACAGCGGCACGGGCAGCGACCTGGACACGGGCAGCCGCCGGGACGAGAGCGACGACGGGACGTGCAGTTGCGATTCGCTGACGAGCAGCACGGCGGATCCCGAGACGGCTGTGATGGCCGTCGATCTGGCACCGGGACGGGCGGTCGTGGCCGCCCATGCCGTTGAGCCGGTCGCGTCCGATCCGGTGACCGTCGAACCTACGGCGCCGGCGCTGCAGGTCTGTACGGCGGCCGGGGTCGTGGCCACGGTCCCCGTCGCAAAGGCCGTCGAAGAGCTGCCCAAACGTTCGACGCCGCAGCCCGTCCGCGTCGAACAGCGGTGCTACAACGACACGTCCGAGGCCGCGGTGGTCGCAACCGACCGCATCATTGATATGGACAACACGGACCAGTATTACAGCTTTCACATGAACGAGAACGTGTTCGACGAAGTGGACGCGGCAGCCGTGGCCACGGCCGCCTCGCCGTCGGACGACACGTTCGCGGGGTGCAAGACGGTGGCCACCTCGGACACGATACGCAGCGCTAAGGGTACGATCAGGGGAGTCAAGAACCGCGTCAGGGCCGGAATAGCGACGTTCTTGCAGCCCAAAACCAACAAGGTGAGTTTAACCGTCTCGGATATTCATATTATTGTATACTATTAAGTATTAACAGACTCTTGAATAATGTTTCACTGACGATTCGGTGCTTAGTGATTTAGGGCCGATTTCGTCAACACAGTTAATCACGATTAAAGTTAACCGGAGTTTAATCGGCCGAATTTGGCCGGTTAAATATCTGTTATCAACCGATTAAGCGTAATCGAAGTTTAACTGTGTTGCTGAAATCGGCCCTTAAGTGGAGCGAAGTCAAATAAAAATTTTGAAAACTTAATATTTATGTATATTTTTGTTTATGGCGAGGAGGATAGGGTTAATCGAGGTTTAAATATAATAACTATGTAAAATCTAAGCCTCCCAAATATTTATATCTTATATATAAAAATCTAGTGTCACGTCTTTGTCCGGGATAAACTCCTAAACTCCGAAACTACTGGACCGATCTCGATGAAATTTTTACAATGTGTGTAATTTGGCCGAAAGAAAGGCTAATTTAAAAAGGGAGAGGACCAACCCCGGGAGGTGCTCAAACGGGAATTTTGAGATTTCAGATGGAAATTTTTGTTTATAAATGGTTGCCATGGGTTTTTAAGCTATTATAATAATAATAATAATAATAAAAAGAATAATAATAAAAAAAAAATATTTTCTTTACTTTTTAAATATAAATTATAATATAATATCTAACTATAAAAATGTGAAATTAAAAATCTCTATACAGGCTAAACTCTGGAACTATTTATCAGATATTCTTGATTTTTTTTTTTAAACGGTAGAGTATTTCATGGAGAAGGTTTATATGAAAGACAATTTTAGGAAAATCCACCGGTGTATAATATATTGGTTGCTATTGGTTAATCGAACATGTTTGTTGATTTGTATTACTATCTTTTTTGTTTATCGGTCCAGTAGTTTCGGAGTTTATCCTGGACAAAGACGTGACACGAGATTTTTATATATAAGATATACAAGAAGATCTGTTAAGTAGTACCAGAGTTTAGTCTGTATGTCTGTGTATTTATATAGTTGTCTACCCAATATGTTAATTATTATGGTTTCGCCAAATAATATGATTTCCTTAGAGCACATCAATGGTTAAGATCACGGTGATGGACAATGGTGTCTATCATTTTTTTTGCTGGGTTGACGGACGCACTCCCCCCCACCTCAATTATCCACCCAATATTATTAACTTAAAACTTTTAAAACATTAGTATAGACGTATCTACTTAGTAAATATTAAATTTGAATCCGTGTACGTTTTTATCGGGAGATTCGACAAAATAATGTCTTATTATATTATTATTGTTTAAAAAAAGCGCAAAACAAAATCATGTTTTCAAACATAGCTAGAAATGTCGAGGGTGAATAAATACACAAGGCTCAAACGTGACGGACGATTTCTTACATTCCATTATTATATTATCGTGTCATGAAGTACCTATATATAAAATAGCAATTTATGTTATTTATATATAATTGTCAGCCAAAGCAATTATTAAATTAGTTAAATATTTTTTAAACAGTTCAAAACTATAAGCTCTCACATCATCACGAGTTTCTCTCAATAAACAGGACTGTTTTTATTTTATGTTGTTGTCAAATTGAAAACCCACTTCTGATGAAATCGGCAGCAATGATTAATACTAAAAACATGTATCATTAGTATTAGACAACTGACGATTTCGTTAAATAGACACACCTGACCACAATTTGTCCACCCAAAACAATGACCTAGATATAGTGACTATATATGATACCTATCTATATATATATTATACTGCAGCAGTACACGACGACACGCGAATAATGTGTCTTTTCATAAAAAAAAAAAACAGCACATCATCAGATAATAATATAATATTGTGTACCTACCTTAGTACCTACGACACTGAACATGACATAACGCCGTCTGCTCTGTGCTCATTCGGTAGAAATCAATAAATAATATTGTTAAATACCTGTGCGAGAATGTGACACGGGATTTCGTTGCATCTGCAGCCGACGGTGGAGTTGCAAAATCCTATCGTCGTGGAATAGTTTTGGAACATTTTCGTTATGTTACGTCATGACGATGAAGAACGAGTACGAGAGAAGATAAGCAGTTTTACGACACTCAAATAATAATAATTTATGCATGTCGAACCACCCGACGTTCGTTCGTTCGTACAAGTATAATGACAGCTGTATTACATTGGCTGAGAAAAAGAAACCAATTCCATTAGGTATAGGTTTTTATGAGATCGAGTTTACTATAATACCTACCAATATATTATACAGTCAGGTTTTAAGAAATGGTCAAAAAATATTTTAAATTTCACACTGTCACCTGTCGGGAGGAATATTATAACGCAGGTAGGTAGGTATAAATAACCTAGAGTTAAAACATAATATATTATCATCTACAATAGTAGGGAACATAATTGTATATGATTAATGAGTAGATTGCAGACATCTTACCTACAAGCCGGTCGAATTTTTTTCGAAACGTTATTACATAAAAATATAACATTATACAGTACTTGTGATATACATAATGTGCATATATTTTAATGTACCTATATGTAATAGTTATTGTATATTATATTTTAATACGTAATAATTATAATATGCACGTGCCTGTGAAACCCTCAATTATGTATAAATAAAATATCAATTATTTTGATGATAAACAACGCAGTGATATAAGTTAAATTATACTAGACACGTCATAAAAAAACAATTGTACGAATTTATATAATAAAATATTATAATGACTCGTCGGACGAATCGATCTAGTTCTGCAAATAAAATATATATTTTTATGTTATGTCAGGTTATGTCGATAGTAGATATTTTTTATAATATACATAGATAAATATATGAGTTAAACGAAAATAAAAAACATGCTATAAAATAATAATCGATTTTTATAATGGTTTCTTTTTTTTTTTATTGATCGTTTAATTAAAAAAATCATTGGGCACAACTTGCGATATCGTACACAAATTATTGTTTTCAATTCACTGCACACGTACTCCGAATCCATCAGATTCATAATATTTTAGCATAATATAGGTAGGTAGGTATAGGTACATGTATAATATTGTAAGCCATGAGGAGATTATAATCGCTTATTATGATTTATAATATTTACATAATTTTATACTAATTATACAATATGATTATTTTAAATGTAACACTCATTTTCAGGAAATGAATTGTATCGCATTTTTTTTTAAACGTAATTGAAGTCTTTACAAAACGAAGATTGAGAGAAAACAATATACTTTTATTGTTATAGCTTATAAGTTTTTACTCTTTTGTTGACAGCATACATTTTAATTCCCCACATTAAACCAGAATATGATTATGAGAAATCCAATGAATAAAAATGTAATTTTGAACGACTAGTTAATTTAGTTACAAGTATAATTTAAGATTTGATTAACGGGGTAGTGGACCTGCAACATTTTGTGGATTACCCTTGGCTATCAACACTTAAATGCTTATCCAATTTCAACTTATATTTCAAAAATTTTATTTTAAATTGACTTTGTGACTTCATACTATGTGAAAATATTAATATTTATTGAGAAAATGAGTACTATTAACTTTTAACAATCACCTTGTATTGTTATATGTAATTACTAATTAACTATAGGTACCTAGTGGTACCTAACTGTAATAATATAAAATATTTCCAACATTTTTTCCTAATCATTGGCAAACATAATTTCTTATTACAAAAATGTCCTTATAATATCGCTTAAACTAAACGATAAGGTAATAAAAAATAAATACATGTTTATAACTAAATAGCTTTATGAGAGTATAGGTCAATTTCTCAATTAACACAATGGGCTCATAAATTCCCATTCGACAACGAATGTATTTTTTTAACCTTAATAAACGTATAATATTGCCAATCGTTATACCAAATACTCTAATTTATTAAAATATGTTATATTATGAGAGTAGGTACCGGATGTAGTATTTAAGTTGTATCGTTAAACATTTTACTCTTTCGATTTTAAAACAAATAATTGTGTCTAATATTTTATTTTATTTCAAATAGAAATCAAAAACTATTTAAAATTATTTTATTAAATTAACCGGTACCTATTTAATTTATTAAATTATAGAATTTGTATGTGTGAGATGTGACATACATGATACATGCCTTTCTCGATGGATCATAATATTCTCTACAAATTAAATACTTAAAAATTATATGTAGGTATATTATTAAAAAAGGTGGGCAAGTGGGTGTCGCTCTGCTGTACAGTAGGTTACAAGTGGGTCATTGTATAATGGATGGTATTAAATTTGAATTCAATGATATAATATCATTGTATAAGAAAAACGATTCTGAGAGGAGACGGTATGTCCTTCTAGGTATAAGACATATTATATACATATCTATGGTATTAAAAAAAATTGACCTATAATGAATTCCAAATTAATCATATCACAATATCCATTAGGTACTTATAACGCGTTATACACCAACAACAAACCCTGATACTATCATAGATATATATAGTAGATTACTTTAGAAATTTCAAGTACCCACGAATAATATTATACAATCACAACAAAATAACTAAAATCGTAATTCTTGGTTTAAATATGAAATGTTGTCTAAATTTGAAATTAAAATGTCTGTAAAAAATAAGTGTGTTTATATATTTTTTAGATTTTTTGGTTACAGTATGAATTATTTAAGAGAATCTTTGTTTTAAATTTTCAACTCTTAGTTATAAAAATAACCAAAAAAAATTAAAAACTGAAAATGTCCGTAAACAGCTCAAAAAGAGTCAAAATATTTTCAAAATTGTATGGTGTATAGGAAATGCTAATATAAACATTCAGTGAAATTTTCATGTATCTACAGTTATTCGTTTTTGAATTACAACAAAATAAGGAAATCGCTACATGAGAAATCGAGTGAAAATCCAATGTTGTAAAAATTTGACTGTCCGGTAGAGATTTTTTTATTGATAAAGGTAGATAATCTTATAAGGAATCTTGTGTTTCATTTTCAAATCTTAGATTTAAAAAGA